GGTGGTTCTCCAGCTAACATTTGCAACAGCAGGATGGTGTATGTGAGCATGAATCCAAATAACCGACAGTATTTGGAAGCTGTGGTGGCGAGGAGTTCACTCATACTATAAATCTTGCACCCCTTACAGGACTATACGGTGACACATCTGCCAGAACATCTCCAGCGTATGCCTCACTTCTTGCCCAGTGTCAGATCCAACAGACGACAAAAATGACATGATTTCCAGAGGGTGAAACCACGCTCTTTGATGGTTCCTCACCTTGTCAGGTCAAGTTTCTTAGTAACTGATTATCATGTAATTCACAGATGGACTGGCACTAATATTAAAGACACTGTTGCTTCCCATGCAATTTAATTTATCCCGTACTTTGATATATTACCAAATAGCAAACATAAAAGTATATTTGTGTTAAGTGCTAATTAAGAAATGTTAGCATACTAGCACGTTACACTGTGAGGACCAAAGCAGATGCTAACATTTAGCATGACACATGTCATTTTGAACAAGCAGACATGTTAATTTTAGCTCAAACCGAGGCCATGTCTATGCACAGCTTTAAAGAGTTGGTAATAGAGGCTTAGATCCTTGCTTCACTTTATTATTTAAAGTTTCATTACTGCCTAAAGAAAGGTTTTGCAGTGTTAAGACTAAAACCTTAAAACATTACTCAAATGGAACTTGGAATCCAACAATTTCCCGTGTCAATTATTAAGTAAACAATAAGTAAACAATAAGTAAACAATATACTGTCAGTCAACCCTTCATCATTTTTCAACATCTTACTTGGAAGAAACAACATAATGAGTCTGAGAAGCTCAACTCTGTCCGATTACAGCAATGCTAAAATGAGTTGCTGAGAACATGCTGAAGTTTTCTGTCAGTAAGATGCTCATATGCTGTGAGAATGTAATCAAACTCTTTATCAGAGGGAAAGTATAATTTTTAGGACACTTGACTATAAAATTAGCGAGAGTAATGTTAGCTTACAACCAGCTGTTGTTGTTTAGTCAGCTCTTTTTTAGCTGTTCGGGTCACATGTCTAATCTGCTGACAATATCGTGGAATAAACCTATGCATGCTGTTAGAGCCCTGACTTCAGTTCAGGAGATGAGGCTTGATGTGAGGAGGAAGAGGATACTATATTTTTTAGATACCACT